TATTTCTCCTTTCTATATTTTTCCTTTCTGCCTATTTCCATCCATTCATCATATGCATTTGATATTAATTTTTGAATATCTAAAGTATCAATATTATCTAATTGATGTGATGATTGTAATGGATGTTCGCGTTTGTGTTTGTGATGTAGGGGAAATGATAGATCTTTTTCCAAATGATTATGTTTAAATTGATTTAATATTGATAGTTTTTGTGAACGTCGCATAAAATCTTTTGCAGCAAAATTGACGACCGTTGAGGATGTACTGCTTAATGATCTTGCATCTCTAAATAATGACTCGCATGGTTGTGAATTGAATAAATGTATATTGATTAATGCTTGCTTTGGTAAATGTTGCTGTTCCACTAATAGTACTAAATATAGTAAATTGTGTGCGTTCAACTCAACAGACATATATGCAGGTCTAGTAATAAAGTATTTGTTAATTTTATTTTTTCTGTTGCTTGTTGTTTGGCTGGTTTTCGATGATTTCAAAGTTGATGTTTTTTCTAAGCAAAACCACCAAAGGCGACACACAAATACTACACACCATGCTGATTGAATACCTAAATACATAGAAAGTGTTAACAATTAATCAGTTTGACTCTTTTCGTTTCTAATGTTAAAAATGGACTTACGTTCATGAATACTTGTCGATTTATCAATGTATGCTTTTACTATCATTTTTAACAATGTTAAATGAACAACTGTCCCATTGCTATCTATACTATCATTAAGAAGATTTATTACATCGTCTGATATTAACTTAATACATGAATTATAATTTTGGCGATCTTTAGGATTAATATCACTTTTCGTCAAACCATGATCTAATTTTGTATAACTATTGTTATCGATTAGTTGTTCTATATGTGTCATACTAATTTTATCGTTCCCAATATATAAATCCGCTGTTGATGATAGCAATCGATTACGCCATTTGGTAACGATATGTACTGGATCTTGAAAAAACAAGAAGAGTTGATTTCCACTAAGAAAAAACCAAGTCCAGTCATTCGGTATATCTATTTTAAATGCATGTTGATGCTTGTCTAATTTGAAATTGGGTAACGACGCGAAGAAATGACTGGCAAGACGCATGGCACTTATGTATTTGTTATCTGCATCTATTTACAATTAAGATACATTTGAGAGGAACATTGTATAAATAAAATTTACCTGTAGAAAATCCGATAATGCGAACATCTTTATCTAAACAACGTTCAAAAATATACATCCATCGTCGTAAAATATCCATAGCTGTAAATTTGTTGTCAACACTATAAGCAGAGAGTAAAACTGGTTTCGGAAAATTTGTTGGATCATCTTCTGTTGATATACTTTGGAACATATGCACATTCAATAATGGTGCTGTTTCATTGGTACTATAAATGATTTTAAAAATCATCAAATGTATCAGCTTGATAATGTTTCATCAATGGAATACCATCAACAATTCGTGTTGTAAATCCAATAAATGAGTTTGTCGACGAATCGTATTCAACTTTAGGAATGACACCAGTAGTATCTTCAGAACAAAATCCAAAACCTGATTGAAACTTTTGAAGTGAGTCAAATTTAAATTCTGTTTCAGTTAAAGTCATATTCGATTTATTAATTAAATCACCAAGTGTTGACAAATGCGGTATACTACCAGGCATATTTAAACGAACGAACTCATAGCATTGTTTACCACCGAAAATATATAAGCATATGGCAAATTTTTTAATTGATTCAGTGTATCTAAAATTATTTGAAGATTGTGTAAGATTGAATACCACATTATCGATGAACATCATTAAAAACCTATTTGCTTTGTTGTTGTTTTCCGAGTCATTTTGTTGATACCATCTAATTAAAGATTTTAAAAGCGGATGCTTGTCAATAAACTCGTTAGATATAAATGTATCTCGAGTTTCATTATTTTCATTTAGTGTTAATTCTTCTTTTAGCTTCTGGTTTAATAATTTGATTAAATATGATAAACTGGTTTGAATACCGGGTTTAACAAAATATTGTCCAGTTTTAGATTTAAAACAAGATTCAGCTTTTATTTTATCTGTTTCTTCAGATTCAATTTGAAAAAATGCGAATACATCAGGTGTAGATAACAGTTTTCTTGCCGAATTAATTAGCTGTATCCGTAAAATATTGAATACTGAATCACCGGCTAATGCTTTAACAATAGAAAAAAAATCATCATCCACACGTGTAAATATATCATTTGGTAAAACTGATGTATCAATTAATGAACTATCTTTGTCTACGCCGAAATTCATTTCGTACAATAAATTTTATAGGGGTACCTAAAACAATTATGTTAATGTACATAGAAATAGAAGGTTTCATATATAAGTACGTTACCGGTAAAGACTAAGTAACGATTGTAAATTTGCCTCGTTCAACTATTGTTAAACAGTTTGTTAATATGTTCAGAAAAAATAGGATTAGCACGACTGTTACTTGAAACTTTATCTGAAACAGATAATAAGAATATTTGAAATCATAAAAATGTTATCAACAAACTATTGAATCATTCAAAAGAAAATATTGATATGATTAGCAGTTATTTTATGCGTCCTTTTATGTATTTAACATAATAAGATAACTAGACTTTTGGATATATTGAAGTGCGTAATTTGACTCTTCTTTTATTTTTATGTATAGCTTGATTGCGTTAATTTTGATCATTTTTACTAGACTTGTCATATCTTCCTATTGTATCAAAATTTTCTAACTTTTGTATGGTTGAATAGAGCATGACTTGACCTATGGAATACCACTCTTTTTCATTCTTTTACTTTTAGCCTAAGAGAGAAAACCTAGAAAGTCTCAAAAGGTGCAAAAAGAAACTTTTTCACGATAATACCTCACAGAGGCGACACCTGTTTGTGGTGAAAAGAATTTCAGATTATTGAGAATTAACAAATATGGGTCTATAAATAGCACGTCGTGAAATAGTTTTCAAATTTAGTAGAAAATTTCATTTTAAGGTCAGGATTGTAGACAAGCATACATTGCTAGGTTTTCAATGATATTTGCACCGTTCGAAAATCAAGTAAATATAACAACGGAGCCATGACCAGTCGATGCAGTCGTTAATCTATCAGTGAAGAATACTCAAATAAATAAGTTATTGTCACTTAGTTAGCAATCTGACTAATATTCGAGATTTGATAGCTAATAACTGTGCAAAATTGTCGAAGTCTCTTGCCACTCTAGAGAATATATTTAATGAAAATCATACAGTTCGATAAAGCGATTCAAAATATATCTAGTTGTGTGCAGACAATGGGAGTTTACTGAACAACTAAGTTGTAATTAGTAAATTTTGATTTCAGAACTACCATTTGAAAAAAAATGTTTTGAGTGTTCTTCAAAAGTCACTGACTGCTCTACCTTAGATGCAACATAAATCAATCGAAAATAGTAGCATTTGATAGATTGAGTTATTCTCTATCCAACTATATCAAAGTTAGAAATTTTTGATATAAAAGAAAACTATAGAGAGTCTAGTAAAAATGATCAAAATTAGCGTAATCAAGCTGTACAACAAATTCATCATTTCTTGTAAGATGATAAATGAGAAAAAAAGCAGAAAAGAGACGGTCTTGTATGTAAAGAAGAAAAAAGAATGGGAAAAATAACAAATATGAAACAAATAGATCTACATGAAAAGCAAATTTTATCGGTTTAATTAGGGAAATAAAACGTATATTTATGAATAAGTAACTGAAAAGTCATTTTGAATCATGTTGATAACAACGAATGAACGTTTGCGATCGCATTTAAAAAATATTCTTGACAAAAATACACCTTATGTAACATAATGACAGCAAGATCATAGACAGATCAATATATTCAATATAAAACAAAAGCAATATCTTGTCTAATTAATATGAAGCCGCAAACACATGTAGAAAATATGTTGATGTCGACATGTCGATATCGACTACTTATAATCCTTCATATTATTGAATTTTGATTTTTTATTTAATCGATTTCTTGAATAAAATAGCAGAAAATATCGTATTTTCATATTCAATATAATTGTCTTTTTATGATTATTATCCATAAAATATACTGCAAACTAACTATTTAATATCTTTCTGTTAACAAATTAATTCTTTGAATCACATTTTTTTTTCAAAATGTAGTGGTTTATATTATATTATTGTTTGCCAAAAATAAAATAACCTTTAACTATTATCCACATTATGTACTTACAGTCATATTGAGAAATTTTAAATAATTTAGTATATAGAAGTATTGAAAGTACTTGAAGTAGCTCAAAGTAGCTTAAAGTAGCCTAAAGTAGCCTAAAGTAGCCTAAAGTAGCTTAAAGTACTTGAAAGTTCGTATGAAGTAGCTCAAAATCTGCTAAAAGTACTTTAAATTACCTCGAAGTACTTTAAAGTAGTTTAAAGTACTTGAAGTACAAAAGTCCGCCCTTTCCCCCTTGTATAGCGGTCACAAGACTGGGTTTTTGACCAAAAATTCGCTCCTGGGTGTGTCTAGTCTTTGACCGATTTCAGACATAAAGTAAAAGCGAAATGCAACTTTTTATATATGAATCAATAGAGAATTCTTTCCTCTATCCGAAACATATTGAACGAACTTGAAAGAAGAATCCTATCATATCATTTAGTGGTAAATACCTTGGCGTAGACAGCCTTTTTTGCACTGCAGTGGCTCCCAGTCGTGTTTTTATATCAATAATATAATGCTAGACA